GGTTCCAACAACCCTGGGGCCTCGAGCTCAGAAATGGTACCACTCTTTGCCCCCTCATTCTATTTGGAAGTTGCAACAGCTGAGGTCGGCCTTCCGATCTCACTTCATCAGGGCCCAAGTTTGTTTAGTTTAAAAAGAATCCCTTGCGAATGTAACTCAGAAAGACGATGAAAGTGTCAAGGATTATATTGCTCGATTCGATGACCGAGTTCAGAATATGGAGCCATGTCATCCCGAAACTTTGCTTGTTATGGCCATTGCGGGATTGAAACCGAATTCTATTTTTCGCTGGACATTATGTCAGAATAAGCCAAACACCTTCTAGGAATTCCTTGCTCGTGCCCAGCAGCATATTATTGCCGAAGAAGCGATGTCGGTTCCCGATCTTAATTTCAATCCGAAGTCATCCAAGTCGGGAACCGACGGCAGGAAGAAACATAAATCTTTTGATAAACAAAGTAAGGGTTACCTAGGTTACCCTCGAGGAGACGCCAACGACCCCGAAATCAGGGCAGCTCGAAAACAGTATGCTACCGACGTAAAATCTGGTTATCAAACCGTGTATTCAACTGGGGTTGCCACTATCTATGAAGAGATTAAAGGAAAGGGCATTCTGCCCGATCCCAAACCACTTAGGATGCCTGAGGAAAAGTTGGATAAATCTCGATACTGTGACCATCATAAATCATCGGGGCACAACACTGATGAATGCCTAAGTCTTTTGGCTGCCCTTTTGCGTTTAATCGGTCATCCGCAACTCAGAAAGTTCTATCGCAACTCTAATACCCAGAAACGGGGACCAGGACGCCAAATTGAATCCTATGATGAAGATGAGGATGAAGACCGAGGTGTTGCGCCGAAACGAATTCGACAAGGATAAAAAGAAGTGTTCATGTTCACCTCGGAGATACTTAACTTGGAGTCACCCAAATGATCCTGAGGGATTAAGCGAAACCGATTTGTGAGTCCGATGCAAATAACGGTCCACAGAGTGAATACTAATAATACCCGAAGTACCTCATCCTGCCGGCAAGTTAAAGCCTATGCCCGACAAGCCTATAACTCGGGTAAGCAAGTCTTCACCACAGATCTATGAGATGTTTTCAATGCCCAAAACTGCTCCATTACATTCAATATGGAAGATGCAAACCACTTTGCTCACCCTCATTCTGACGCTCTTGTCATCACTGTTCCAATATGTGGAATCCCGGTTCACCGTGTCATGGTGGATACTGGGGCCTATTCAAGCATTTTAATGTTGAAAGCTTTTGACAAGATGGGTCTCGACCCAGCGGATATTCGGCCTTGTAATGATCAGATACAGGGGTTTAATGGAAGCATTTCGAAGCCCATCGGCGAAATCACCTTGCCTGTCAGATTTGGCACCTCCGAACACGTTACCAAGCTCGTTATGGAAACTTTTAAAGTTCTTGACATCAACAACGAGTATAACGCGATCATCGGAAGAACTGCCCTGTACAAACTCCGTGCCGCTGTTTCCATTTTTCATTATGCACTTAAATTCCCAACGATACGTGGTGAAGGAACGCATTATGGAGATCAAAGGGAAGCTCGAGAACTTATCACTTTTATACCATCCACCGGAGTCCACTCTGCCACTTCGGTCAACGAAGGAAATTCCTTGCCATTGGCCACTTCGGACAATACAATTTCCGAAGAACCAAGTCATGATGTCGTTGTCCCTATCACTTCCGACCCTTTATCTGAAGACCGAGTGTAACACCCCTCCTTACCGTAAAATCAGAGTAGCGCAAATTTCGCAAAGTTACTTAAAATAAAACCTTTTTACCTTGCGAAAACTGATTAGGGGTGCTACCTTTAAAAATCGTGACTTAACTTAGAAAACCGTTGTTTTAATTTTTATAAAATCATCCGGTTACTGAAAACATAAGTTTCTTAAAAGTTCGTCAAAATCTAAGTTCGTCAAAGCGAGTACGTCAAAAGTTATCAAAACATCATCACAAGTCATCAAAATATCATAAGCGGAAGCGTAAGTCATAATCATAATTATACACTCCAAAATATAAATATCCTGAAGTCCCGTCACGTCACGTCACGCTCCCGGCCCGACATCCTGACCTGAAAAACATGATAAAACTGGGGAGTGAGCACTATGGCACTGTGCTCCGTGGAAACTCATACTAATGTAAAACAGTGAAAATAATAACAATATCATGATCCTGGCATATATAACTGAACTGAAACTGATATTTGATACCGGTCTAAATAATCTGATACTGATCTCGTGACATAAGTCACGTCTGAACTGAACCTGAACATCTGCCGGCAAAGCCGGACACCATGTGCACACTCTAGTGGGCAGACTAGGGCCACTA